CCACCTACCCGCGGTAAAAAAGGAGCAGTTCCGGCAGCGGGCAGCTGGCGGGCGGGCAGCTGCCCGCCGGCGACCCGCTGCCCGGAACAGTGTTTACCGGCGGGTGGCCCCCCACTCACCGGCTACCCGCTGGAAGTTCCCACACTTGGGACCCCGACTTCCCCGTTTGATGTTTCCCCGACCCCCGTGGTGTCCCAACGGACTCCGTCTATCGTGCCTATGTCTAGTTTGATGTTTTGGGTACCGTTCGTAGGTTGTATGAGTCTTATATATTGCATGCTAGTTGAATTGGTATCCCGCTGACCTAGGTGAAAGGAGTATGAACCCTTAGGACTATTCTTAGTATGTGAAGTATCACGCATAGGTTTTGTTATACGTTTTCTCCCCCTTCCCAATGTGTTAATGTGGGTTGCATGTGCTTGCTATGTGTTATGTGTGCATGTTACCCCGATTTGGTTGAGATCAATCGGGCTATATGGGCAGTCGGGTGGGCTGAGAACCATACCGGCTGTTAACCAGGCTGGTAGAGACCGGTCAGGTATATAAATATTATATAGGACTAAGTTCCACAATACGGGCAGTCGGATGGGCTGAGAACCATACCGGCTGTTAACCAGGCTGGTAAAGACCGGTCAGGTATATAAATATTATATAGGACAAAGGTCCACTATACGGGCAGTTGAATGGGTTGAGAACCATCCCAACTGTTAACCAGGCTGGTAAAGACCGGTCAGGTATATAAATATTATATAGAACTGCGGTTCATTAGTCGGTTGCGATCGGCTCCTCCGTAATGTGAGACGGGGCAGGGTGCTGCGGGGCCGTGTCAGAGCTATATGCGCTGACCCTCATGTATGGGCATGCGATTGGTCCTGTGGCGCCAACAAAGTGTGCTATGTGATGAGATGAGAAGAATTGATGGTGTGACTGTTGTGGAAACGTGACCATAGGACACTTACTAGTAATGCTTAATTGTGATCATTGGTGGTGCTTATCTATAACTGTTCCCTATGTGAGAATTGTTTATGCTTGATTATGACTACTGATTGCGTATACCCCTATCTGTCGAGTCGGTGCCCTGATTTGAAAACTAGAGTCTCGTAGGATATATCTTCATGCTGCAAAATGACTTTTCATATATCTCTATATATATATATATATATATATATATATATATATATATATATATATATATATATATATATATATATATATATATATATATATATGTATTGTATTTCAACGTGTTGGAGTGGGTTACCAGCATCTCTCGCTGAACAGATATATTTGGCTTTCAGGCACAGACGAGTAGATCACTGGAGCGCGCTAGAAGCTTGGACGTAGCTTAGATAGTTTTTCCCTTCCGGCCTGCGTGCCATGATTTAGTATTGATACTATTTGAGGATATTAGTTAGTTATCCTGTGCACCTGAGTTATCTAGCTCAGGTGTGGCATAGCACCCCATACTCTTGTATCATGTTTTGGGATTTAATGAGATTTCACCTTTATTTTATAAGTTTTAAATATCCTGAAAATCTGGGGTGTTACACGTACACACACATGGCAACACATGCCCTGGATAACACATGTTATCCCAGTAATAATCACGTGAACCTTACACAAAGGCCACAGCTCCATAATCACGTCACGGCCACCACGAGGACCGCTGCAATACCTTGGTGACTAGTGTCCCGTACCAGTAATCGTGCAATCCAGGTAAAGCCACACACGCATCACACCTCAACAGGAATCAATCAACGGATCACAACGAAGGTATGAAACATACCCAATCAAGGAATGGGTCACAGCCCAACAACAACAACGATGAATAACACAAGTTATCATCTGCCAATCGGAAGGTACAAACAACACACACGCTAGCATTTAGACACCAAACTATCATGCTTATCAAATGGGTAAACCAAAGGTAGTTCTGAGGAACACAGAAGACTCATCACGGTTCAACGAAACACAATGTTGAACTCTTAGCACGGTTCAAGAAACCAAAGACCTACATGGATACCTACCACATAGTTCTAGACATACGAAACATCAAGAAGACACTCAAATAGTTCCACAAAAGAACATCGGGAAGTCCAAAGATCAAATACCGAGTCAAAAGAATCACGGGGAACAAATCCCCAAACATCACCACACATGTACCCGCGGGTAGGCCCACGGGTAGGTCTCTACCCGCGGTTCCGCCCGCGGGTACAGGCTACCTCAACCATTGTACCCCGCGGGTGGGCGACGAGTGGGCCTCCTACCCTCCGTTTCGCCCGCGGGTACACACCTGTACCACAACAAATCCCTTCAGGGATTTTTATCTCCAAACTCAAATTCAAGTCCAAAACATGCCAAATATCACCCAATACAACAAAATGACTTGAATCATAGGAAATGCCAAGAAATGGCACAAAAGAACCCTAAACACAAGCTCTAGATATGCATTTTCACAAGACAAATGCATAAACACTCACATTTCATAGCAAAACACAAGTAGAATCCAAGAAATCACATATAGGTAAGCAAAATAGATTTTGTAGAGCATGGGTTACCTCTTGTAGACTAAAAGACTTCACTTTACACCTCAACAAGCTCCTCACAAGGCTCACTTTCCAAACCCACTTCATGAACAAACCAAAAGATCATAAAGATCCTACCTTTAAGAAAAGATACCTAAGATGGAACCAAAAACACAAGATGGACTTATATCTTACCCTCCTAGATGCCCAAATAGGTGAAAGATTGAATCTTGGAAGCAACTCTTGAAGTCTTGGCAAGGTCTCAACTTGTCTTGGAGGAAAAACTACTCAACTTTTTAGAGAGAAGGTAGAGCTAAACTTTTAGAAAGTGTAAGGGATAGAATGAAGATGTCTACTAGGTTAGGTTACAATACTAACATTATGTGTAACGTCAAGAATGCCCTTACTAACATTAGGAAATGTAAGGAACAAGGGAACTCCCTTCAAAGCTTAAGGTACAACTTTGACTTTGGGATTAACTAGTCAAATACTAGTCCTCAAGTATTGAATTTCAGGATTTTAGGAATTAATTCCTCAATTGAAATAGGATTAATTACTCAATTAATCTATTAATTGAATTTGGATTTCGGGGTGTCACAAAACCTGGGTATACTGGGTATGTACCTTGTGTGAGGCACTTGGGTGAGATTATTGTTTCTCTACCTTTGTACATTGGAGTATGATTTAGTGGATTGGACGCCTATGTGATCGTCCCCCAGACGTAGATACACACTGTATCGAACTGGGTAAACATCTTGTGTTTTGCTTTGTGTTGTTATCTCTTTCTTAAAATATCTCTATAGTCTGTTATTACTGACTGACTTCATCGGTGAATCAGTCAGTTCATTCCATCAGTTAGTTAATCCAGTTAAACTAATTAAAAATGAGGAAATGCAAAATTACATGTGGTATCAGAGCTTTTAAGTCTACATAGTGACTTGATCCGTACGGGTTTTTTTAGTTTTGCATTGTTCTCTGTCTTTTGGAAGTGCCTCTTTGTGTTTGTTGGCTAGTTGTCTTTGATCAGGATGGATGCAAGTATGAAACCACCAGAACTTGATGGTCACAACTACTCTTTCTGGAAAGCTCGTATGGAAATATATCTCCAAGCATAAGGTAACAGGGTTTATCGTACTGTCCTATCTGGGTGGAGTCGTCCAACTATTCAGAATTGTGATGGAACTACTGAGGATAAGCCTATGGAGACTTGGACAGACGATGAAATGAATGCCTCTGATCTAAACAACAAAGCATTGAACTCTATTGTAGTATCTCTGCATAAATCTGTCTTTACCCTAGTCACAAGGGTAAAAGAAGCATAACATGTATGGGAAATTCTTGAAACCAGATTTGAGGGAACTAGTGATGTCAAGCAGTCAAAGCTATAAATGGTGCTATCAGAATTTGAAGCCCTCAGAATTAATGAAGAGGAAACTATTTCGATCTTTCACAGTCGGGTTCAGAATCTGATGAACCGAGCTTCAATTCTTGGTGAACCATTCACTGATGAGAGAGTAGTCAAAAAGATCCTTCGATCTTTACCTAAACGCTTCCGGATGAAAGTGACTGTTATTCAGGAACACACAGGCTGGGAAAAGAAGACCGTAGGAGAACTCATGGGAAGTTTACACACATATGAACTTGAAGTGCTTGCTGATGATGATCTTGCTAGCAACAGAAAAGGAAAGTCAGTGGCTTTTGTGGCTGAAGCTGATCGAGAATCTGACGCAGACGACATAGATGATGAAACCTTGGCACTTCTAACCAAGAATTTTAAGAAAATATTGAAAGGATTCAACAAAAAGAGTCAAGGTCAATCCACCAGGAAACAACACAAAGGCAATAACTCCTCATATCAGAAAGCCGACACAACACCTTTTTTACAGAACAATCAAACTCAGACTGGCCGAACAAGACAGAACAGAAACAGTTCCACAGATACAGGGAGGTCCCTCAATCGGTCAGTGCAGTGTAGAGAGTGTGAAGGTTATGGACACATACAGGCAGAATGTGAAACGTATCTAAAGAGGAAAAAGGCTATGACAGTAGCTACACTAAGTGATGATGAGGAGGAAGCATCTAATGATCATTCTGATGATAATGTGGGAAACTTTGTAGCCTTCTTTACAGCTACAGAGATTCAGTCAGACGGAAATGAATCATATGAATAATCTTATATATCAACAGATGACTTTGAAGAGAGGCATACTCAACTTGAAATGGAATTTGCTAAACTTGTTGCAAGCTGGGAACAACTAGTAAAGGTCAATAAAAATCTGAATGATGAGCTAAAGCAAAGGGATGATCTTCTAAAGAAACTAAATATAGATCTTGTCATAAAAGAAGATCTTATCACCCAGATAAGATCTAGAGAAGGAAAGCTGAAAAAGGAATTGGAAGGTCTGAAGAAAAATATCCAGATGATGGACACCACATCAACATTAGAAAAAATTCAGGACTCTGGTAGAAATCCTAATGATAAAAAAGGGTCTAGGATTTGAACGAGGTGAATCTTCGAATAATGCTCCTATTTTTGTCAAAGAGGGTATGTTTAAGGCCACAGCAGTTCACAGTTTTGAACAAGGACAGTCATCTCAGTCAGTTCAGAAAAATGATAAGAGAAAGATATATGTTCAAACTGCAGATACTGACTTCGGCAAACTAACTCGTCAATCTCATTATTCAAGGTTCAAACATAAGATTGTCAGAGTTAGACAATACACTCCTATCTGCCACTACTGTCAAACAAAATGTCACACTCGACCTGAATGTTTTTTTTTCTACAGAGATCAAAGGAAGGAAAAATATCATAATAAGACTATTACTCCGTTCACTAGACAGGTTTGGGTCAGAAAGTCAGAAGTTATATGCTACCCCACTATAGTTCTGATTGCATCTACGACTGAAGCTAGATGGTATTTCGACAATGGCTGTTCCAGACATATGACTGGGAACGTTAAGTGTCTCATGGCTGTTCAACCAAGCAGTGGATCTGTTACTTATGGCGACGGGCAAAAAGGGAAAATAGTTGGAAAAGGTACTCTGAATGTACCAAGTTTACCTCACTTAGAAGAGGTTCTGTTAGTCAGTGGGTTGAAAGCTAATCTCGTCAGTATCAGTCAGTTGTGTGATCAAAATTGGAATGTGTGCTTCGATTGTAACTGCTGCAGAGTTAGTGACAAAGCAGATCAACTTGTCATGGAAGGAACTCGATCCTCAGACAACTGTTATGTCTTGGCAAACGAAAATGCTTGTCACCTATCTAAATCTGATGAATCAAAACTCTGGCATAGACGACTGGGTCACATAAACTTCAGAGATATGGATAAGCTGATCAAACTAGAAGCTGTGAGAGGAGTACCTAAGATCTTAATAGAACTGGAGAAAGTTTGTGGTGCATGTGCCATTGGGAAACAAATTAGAACTCCACACAAGGTAGTAAGAGTTATCACTACTGAGAAGTGTCTAGAGCTTGTTCACATAGACCTCATGGGACCAACACAGACTGAAAGCATTGGGGGAAAGAACTACATATTTGTATGTGTAGATGATTTCTCTCGATACAGCTGGGTGTACTTTCTTAGAGAAAAAATCTGAGGCCTTCAAGGCATTTAAAACCATGTATAGGGTTCAAAAGGAAAAGAAAGAGCGTTAATAAAAATTCAGAGATTAAGAAGTGATCATGGGAAAGAATTTTAGAATTCACTATACTCAGATTTCTGCTCCGAGCACGGTATATCACATGAGTTCTCAGCTCCTAGAACAGCACAACAGAATGGTGTGGTGGAAAGAAAGAATCGAACCTTGCAAGAAATGGCTAGAGTTATGTTACATGCTTCTCATCTGCCGCAGCGCTTCTGGGCTGAAGCAGTTCACACAGCGTGTCATACAGTGAATAGAGTCTATCTTAGACCATGGACAACCAAAACACCATATGAGATCTAGAAGGGAAAGAAGCCAAACCTGAAGTACTTTCATGTGTTTGGAACGAAGTGTTATGTGCTGATTGATAGAGAACAAAGAGGGAAGTTTGAAGCTAAGAGTGATGAGAGTATCTTTCTTGGATACTCCTCGAATAGTCGTGCCTACAGAATCTACAACAAGAGAACTCAATCTGTAATGGAATCAGTAAATGTTGTTATAGACGACAGTCCAGACGAATCAGTGGAAACAACAGTAACTGACCCAGTGCCAGAGCTTCCTCTAAGTGAACTGAATATTGCAGATAGCAACAGTCAGCCAAAATAATAAGAATCCTCAGATGAAGATCAAGAATGTTCTGAACAAGAGACAACTCTTATAAATGATACAGACAAAGACAAACCCACCAGAACTCAGAAAAATCATCCATCAGATAACATCATTGGTGATCCAATAGATGGGATGAAGACTAGAGGCAGAACAATAAATAATCTGATAGAAATATCTGGATTTGCTTGCTTGAATCATTGGTGATCCAATAGATGGGATGAAGACTAGAGGCAGAACAAGAAATAATCTGATAGAAATATCTGGATTTGCTTGAATCCAAGGATATTGAACTGGAGTACATTCAAACAGATAAGCAACTGGCTGATATTCTGACCAAGCCCCTAGATGCAAATCGTTTGAAATTCTCAGATCTGCTCTGGGAATATGCAGGAATGACTAATAAGGCAGTTCGTCGTTCAGAGGGGAGTAAATGGTTTAATTATACGGGTCAGATTTAAGCTTTGACTTTCGTTTAAATCTCCCTTCTAATTTGTTAAGTTCTTATCTTAACCTAAATTACCATAAAGGTTGTGACCTTTTTCAAATTTCAAATTTCCTTACATCCGTTTCTTGCCTAAAAAGAAGGCATACCGTTGTGTCAATCACATCACCTCTGCATGATTTTTGACTAGCCGCATTAATTAGGGTTCTTCACCCTGGGGACTATTTGTTACCGGGCCTTTCTTGAACAGAAGAAGAAGCACTCAAAGAATATCTCTGCCCTTAATGTACTCTCTCTCTCTCTCTCTCTACTCCTTGTTTGCCTAGGTTGAATTCTCTCACATACTTCCTATACACTCTAATGGCAGACGCAGTAAGGAATATCATCATCAAGCTTGGAAGCAAGACCCATTCTCCAGAAGTTGCTGCCAACCACATTCAAACACTATTGCAGTTGGCAATGAAGAAGAAACTGAAACTTGGCCCTCTTCTTCGTGATGAGATCATGGTCACGGTTATGATAGATTATCCAGAGTTCTATGCCGACTGGTCTGAAGACGATACCAGTGAGCTTTTATTGTTGGTCTCTAAAGCCAGTGATGAGGTTTCACCAGCATCTATCCCAGAGCCTTCAGATGGAAATCGGGCCGGGGAATTTCTCCAATACTTTGCACAGAGGGCTCTTGAATCTCTTGAGGTCTCACGACGAGGAGCTGAATCGCAACCCCTGTACCTGCAAGCTGCCAGAGATGAAACCAGACACAGGCTGGAAATCCTTCGAAACAGGTCAAACACTTCTGACTCCCCTATTGAAATTTTGCCTGATAAACATGAGGATTTAGTGTCTAATGCTGCCCCATCTACTGTGCTTGTTGTTTCTGAGAATGTGCCTAATTTAATTTCTGAGAAATCTTCAGTATCTGTTGATCCTCCTTGTTTACCTTCTGTTAAGTCTGATTCTGTGAAAAGTGGGGCTCTTAAAGTGTTTAAGGAAGAAGAAAACTCGTTTGATAAGCCCAACAATCTAAGTTTGGTAGTTTTTTCGTCTGATAATATTGCTCTGCCTCCTGCTGTTGTTGCTGATGTTCTATAAGAAATTGGCACCTCTGTTAATCCCTCTGATATGCCTGCTGAGGTTGAAAGTGTGAAACCCTCAAGCCCCCGTGCGTCCAAGAAAATGGATGGCATTCCAGTCTACACCTCCACTTCTTTGGCTGAGAGTCTTGAACATGTCCGGCACTTTGCTAGTTTACCTTCTGCCTCCATTCCAGAACCCTATCGAGTGATTCATCCTTCTGAATCCTCGAGTGAAGATGAAAAGATCCTTGCTGAAGTCTATGGTACCCAAGCTCATGCATCTACGGCTCCGACAGTTGAGGCGACTGCACATCCTGATTCCACCACCTTCAAAATTAGAGAGATTACGAATCTTCTTGGAAGCTCGTCTGCAAATGTTTCTGATTCCAGTCATTCTGTGACTCCAGTACAATCCCCATCCAAAGAAACAAGAAGATCAAAAAGGAAGAATATTCTTGTGAAAGCTGTTGTTAAGACTGATGATGACAATGCTGATGTAGATCAGCCTGAGAAAAGAAGGAAGTCCAGTGAGACCATCGAACCTGAAGCCAATCCTCCTATTCAACAAGTGTTCAAGACACTACGGTCTTCTGTTAAACATAAGGGCCCTACTGCTGTTCACTCTGCTACTGTTCCCACAACCTCTGCCAAAAAGGGGAAACCATCCACACATTCCAGAGGACGAAGCATAACTCCTGACGTTCAACCTGTTGAAGGATCTGACACATCTATTTACAAGCCTCAGTTTGTATCCCCCACTGCTCAGGGCAAATGGTCCACTATGGTCAGAAAAGACCTTATTGTTCAAAGGTCTGTTGATGAAAACCAGCTGAATTCCGTGTGTGATATACTACCATTGCTGAATGAAGTGGGGCTGCTGTAGACTGTCACCTCCATCTGCCCATACTCGAATCTCCTCACTTATGAATTCTACTATAATCTCAATGAAGAGATAGACATATTGACTGGGCCATGACCTATGCAAATTTTCATTCGAGGGAAGTGGTACATCTTTGGGCCTGACATGATCAATGAATATTATGGACTGACAGCTGCGCAAGAAGAGGCTATTACAGATTGGAACTTGGTGGCCAAGACTCTAACGGGTGGACAACTTGATACATGGCCTACTGCTAACAAGGATTATCTGCCTAGCTTTCAGCTCACCTCCAGATATGTCATTCTGCACCGACTTGCTCTACACAACTGGCTCCCATCAGCTCACTTCCATACGGTTGGTAAGCACCTGGCAGGTTTCTTGTTCCGAATTGGAACAAAGATGCCGATTGATCTGGAGAACTGAATTTACTATCATATCCTCACCATGATCCATCCACGAGAGCAGAAGGTAAGGTTGCCCTTCCCGAATCTGATTTATGGCATTCTTACAACTCATGGTCTTGAGCCTATGCCGAGTGAAGTAATCAGTCCAACTCTCCTCTATACTGTTGATCGGCGTCTTTTGACTGGAGATCACATTCATGATGTTACACCGGTGACTGCCCCCTCCAATTCTGAACCTGATACAGTGGCTGATGACTCGCCACATGGAAGGGATCTTCAACTCTCCATTCAGTTAAAGGCAAGGGTTTCTGAACTTGAGACAGTTCACGCCATTATTGCGAGACATCTGACAGGGGCTCGTACTGAGTTGGCAACCGTTCTTCTTCGTTTAAGCCTATCTAACTCTGCTGCTGCTGCTAAACCTGCGAAGTCCGAAAGTGAGACTCCCTCCAATGCTTGATCATGCTTTGGCTCTCATTGGCAAAAAGGGGGAGTATGAACTCAGGGGGAGTTGTTTTTGTGTACCTTCTGGCCCTGGCTGGGCGTTGTTTTTGTTGGCACCACCTTTTATTTCAAGAATGTTCTTTGACGGTTATTTTGATCCAGCATGACTTGTATGCTGTGTTTTTCTCTCTGCTATGTAATCAGACTCTTGGTTGTTTTTTTTTATGATAGCGTATCTTAGTTTTTTCAGTTTATGTCTTTCTACAAAGTCGAGTTGTTTTGCCAAATAATAGCCAAAGGGGGAGTTTGTTAGTGTTTTAATTGTTCAAAAAACCCCAACTTATAATTGGCAATATTATTATGGCATACTAAGATAGGTTTAGCTTAGTGTCTATTCAGTTCTACAGAAGACTGATCAATCAGAAACAACAATAGAGGGACTGATACTGAAGATCTGCTTTAAGAAGATGTTTACTTAAAAGTTGTACGCGGTTTTACAGAAGACAGATTTGGAAAGAAGATCTGCGTATCTGCTTTGGAAAGGTATGGACCGAATCTTTAAGATTACATTCTTCAAATATTGTCCTACCATCTACAATCAAAGATATCTATGGAGAGAGTGTTCTAATAACGGAACTATAAGTATCCGCATTCGACGAGAATTAGGGTTATGCTTTCAAGAGAGAAGAAACACTCCTTATCAGTTTTATGAGATCAGATCTTTTATTCTATGCCTCTTCTCAATGCAACATATTCATGGTGATTAAGATTAAGAACTTGAGAAGAATCACTGCTGCTTAAACGAAAGGACATTGTGATCACACTGTTGTGGGAACAACCGTAAAGAGCGTCATTGAAGTGGACTGCATCAGAGTTGGCTCTCCAAGTGAAGGGACTTCATTGGACTTTTGTATGCATGGCTCTCCACCTTCAGCAATCCACTAAACTTGTGTAGATTGGATATGTACCTTGTGTGGGGCACTTGGGTGAGATTATTGTTTCTCTACCTTTGTACATTGGAGTATGATTTAGTGGATTGGACGCCTATGTGATCGTCCCCCAGACGTAGATACACACTGTATCGAACTGGGTAAACATCTTCTGTTTTGCTTTGTGTTGTTATCTCTTTCTTTAAATATCTCTATAGTCTGTTATTACTGACTGACTTCATCGGTGAATCAGTCAGTTCATTCCATCAGTTAGTTAATCCAGTTAAACTGATTAAAAATGAGGAAATGCAAAATTACAATGGTGATTCCTTTTTTTTTTATAGTGATTTGATTTGTCTTTGAAGTTGACTTCTCTCCCTGGATTTTGAAATTATATATACTGTATTCTGATAAACATTATTTTTGTTGTTATTTTAAATAATTTTTTATAGTTAAGCTGCAAATAATTGATTAATTTTTATCTAATTTTATTTATTATTGACATAAGTACTTTTGTTAATATTAATCTATTTTAAGATTATTTTTATTAAATTTGTCTATTATTTGAATTATATTAGAACAATAATTCCCTAACCTCAATTTAATAAGATTATTATTATTATTATTATTATTATTATTATTATTATTATTATTATTATTATTATTATTATTAGATTATCAGATTAGATTAGATTAGATCTGTCCATTTTGTTAGGATCAGGACTTTAATTAATAAAATATGAGAGAAGCGCAGCTTCATCCCATCGGCTAACGAAGATTCGGTCCGGTCAGCTAAAGACCCGAAAGGAGAGCCGATCCTCATTCTCCTGCGACATCTATGCCAAGAATTGAATAGTGTAAGGAGAAGCAGTCGAAGGCTATAAATAAAGTTCGGTCTAAGATCTTCAGCGGCATTTATCACCTTCATCACCGACAACGGAATTTCACCACGAATTACCACCCACCATCAATTTTACTCCGGATCAATTCCGGAGGCGAGCTTGGAGGTTTCCAGTTTGGCGCTGGTAGTGCTGATTCGGCAGCTTCTTCCCAATTCTTCTATTTCTCTGTTCTTCAATTTGTTCAGTGCGGCGATAGCAGAATCTGATCGGCAACCTTGACAGTCGGCAGCAGCTTAATATTCCTGGTTCTTGTCCCCTTTAATTTACATTGCACTTTGGTGAATTGTTAATGGTCACTTCCTCAATTTCTGTTTGTTCCTCAATTTACATTGCATTATGTCGAATTGTTACGGTAGAACCTATTTGCTTATTTAATTACATCACAGTACACTTTGTTTAATTCGTCTTTCGTCAATTCACAGTAAAGTTTTGTTTAATTCCTCTTTCTTCAAGCCACAGTGCATTATTTTGTTTAATTCCTCTAAACCCAATTTATGTATTGCTACTGTGGAACCTAGTTTGTAGTATCAATTTGCTCAACTCTATTACATTAGCTATCAATTTCTTTAGTATTTGCTACATTTTCTATTTCAATTCATCTTAAATCTGCGTTAATATAAATTCAATGTTGTCAATCAATTGAGTTTTATTCCTTAGCTTCCAGTTTTATTAATCTTTGGCATTTGATTTAAGCACTTTAATTTGTCAAGCACGTTATTTTAATCTGATCAATTTCCCCTGCTATTTCATTTCGTTGCTATTTTATTTCCTGCTTTGTTTTCTACTGCAATTTCGCTAGTTAAGTCCATTCTGAATGTCAATTGGTTCTAAGCACATTAAATTGTTAAGTAATCGTTTTAATCATTTTCAATTTATTAAATTGCATCATATCAACTTCCTCTTGGGTGCGACCCTTGCCTTTGCACACTACCACTACACTGACTCGTGCACTTGCGAGGACATTATATATTTAAAATTGTCCAACAATTTTTGGCGCCGTTGCTGGGGAATTTGTTTACGTTGCAATTTATTTTTATTTTTTTAGTAGTTGTTTGTTTTTTTTGCAATTTTTTGTTTCCTTCTTACAGTTTAATCTTGTTTGCTCATTAGTCTAATTTCAGCACAAATCTTTTTCTGGACGGCAGCAACAACAATTTAGCTTTGGCATTTTTTTTTTCACTTCCCAGGTTTTAGAATTCAATTGCATGTTGGCAGTGGTTTTTATTAGTTTATATATATCAAATTGCTGAAGGGTTAATTTCTAAAACTTTGCAAATTGATTTTTCTGGTCTTTGTTTGTTTCCTTCCGTTTAATTGCAGTACTCTTTTGCTTTAATTTTCAATTCCCGAATTGTGAACACTTTTTATTTAATCAATTCCCAAATTCTAAGCTTAGTTGCTGTTTATTTTATTTATTAATTTTAATTACTGATTTTTACTAAATTGTTTAATTTTAGGGCGCGATTTGTTTATCGTTAATATTTTGTATTAATTTCTTTAATCGGTTGGTAATATTAGACTTAAAATACAGAGTTAGAAATTGTTTCTAATTCATGTTCCGACTTTTTTGATTTGATTGTTATTTGACTTTCTGATTCATATTGATTCTAGTTTGTTTACTGTGCAATTTGATTCCTCTTTCCATTTTTCTTTTCACTTTTTCAATAATTGTTTAGTATTCAATTCAATAAAATATTGTTTTATATCTGTTTTTGTTTTCCCTATCCCTTGATTTATTTTTATTTTGTTTTCCTTTTTCTTAGTAATTGTTTTTCTCCCTTTACTTACCATTACCTAAAAAAAAAGTAAAAAAAGTACTTAATAAGTGTTTAGTTTTCTCTATTTCCGTTTTACTCTTTATTCATTATCTTATTTATTTATTTGTTTGAGTTTATTTATCTTTGTTATTTTATTTATTTATTTTATGCAGGGTCGTCGTTCTTTAAACCCTAAATTGTTACCTTTAGACGACCATATTAATAGGACAAAGAAAGAAATATTAGTTTTTGAAAATCCAGTTTTTGAACCACAAGAAACAACCACTACTATGGATGCACTTCCTCCAGCTAACCCTAACCCTAACCCCAATCCTAACCCCAACCCCAGGCCCAACCCTAGGCTGATGAAAGACTTTGGTAGGCCCCAAGTAGGCAATTCACCTTCTTGTATAGTGCTTACCAATGCAGGAAGAAATTATGAGCTTAAGACGGTCCACTATAGTCAATTGCCTTCTTTTCACGGCTCGGCGACCGAGGATGCCCTTACCTTCATCCGGGATTTATACGGGATAGTCCAAAACTTTCCGTTGAATGACTTGACGGAGGATGAATTGAGAATGAGGTGTTTCCCATACACCTTGAAAGATGCAGCAAGGACATGGTTCATGTCTCTCACACCAGGTTCCCTTCGAACATGGCCAGAAGTGTACAATAAATTCATAAGTAAATTCTATTCTCATGCTAAAACTACGGAATTAAGAAGGAAAATTGCAACTTTCTCGCAAGCTGAGGGCGAACCGTTCCATGAGGCATGGGAAAGGTTCAAGATGTTGCTCATTCAATGCCCCCATCATGGTTACCCATTGGAGCTGCAAAACCAAACCTTCTATGATGGTTTGACCCAAGCCTGTCAATCGATAGTTGATAATGCGGCTGGGGGTGCCATGGGAGAAAAAACTGAGGAGGAAACCTTAGCTTTGTATAAAATGCTAGGAGCAAACTCCCAACAAAAGAGCATAAGGGGACGGACACCAGGTTTGTATGAAGTTAGCTCAAATCCTGAATTGACGACTTATATGTCTGAGTTAACAAAACAAATGACAAGCATGTGTTCCATGATGAGTATGAACCAAAAGAATGCAGGTATGATTGAAGGAAATGACAATGTTGAGCAGGCTAATGCAATGAACAGTTTTAATCAGAGGCCGAGAAATGACCCATACTCCAATTCTTATAATCCGGGTTGGAAAAATCACCCTAATTTATCTTGGGGTAATAACCAAAATAATTTTCAACCAACTGCTCCGCCTCAACCAAAAAAACCATCTGTGGAGGATGCTTTGCACAATTTTATACAGGTTTGCAATAAACGGCAGGAAGCTAGTGAGCAGCGGTTCCAACAAGTTGAAGCTTCCATGAGAAAATTGGAAGTACAAGTGGGGCAAATCGCCGAATCTATGCAAAGCCATGTACCAGGTAAGTTACCTAGTCAACCTGAGAAAGCTAAGGTTATGACTGTTTTAAGAAGTGGTAAAGTTATTAAAAATAATGCAAATACCACTTCTCGACCAGCCAAAATAGTTGAAAACTTACATGTTGATGATGTTAATAAGGATGAACCCAAGTTGCATAAATCCGTTGACCCTTATGTGCCCCCTAAGCCTTATGTTCCCTCAGTTCCATTTCCTAGTAGATTGAAAAATTCAAAATTTGATAAATCATTTTCTGAAATTTATGATTTGTTGTCAAAAGTGCATGTGAATTTGCCTTTGTTAGACATGATTAAAAATATGCCTGCCTATGCTAAGTTTTTGAAAGAACTGAACACTAGAAAGCGTAGGTATGAACATAATGAAAAAGTTTTCATGTCTAGAACTGTCAGCGCTGTTTTACAAACTGACTTGCCCCCAAAATTAGAAGACCCTGGTAGTATCATAATAACTATTACGGTGGGGAATTCTAAGAAAGAAAAGGCAATGCCTGATTTAGGGGCGAGCATTAACTTGATGCCATATTATGTCTATTTGCAATTGGGTTTGGATAAATTGAAATCTACTACAATGTCCCTCGAGCTTGCTGATCACTCTGTTAGATATCCTAGGAGCATTGTAGAAGACGTTCTGGTCCAAGTTGATAAATTAATAATTCCTGCTGATTTTGCTGTGTTAGACATAAATAAGGACTGTAATCATAAGCAGGACATGCCCATTCTGCTTGTGATATGAATCTAGTCCAAGATTCAAATAAGATGAGTATTGTCCCAAGAATTGCTCTCAATGTAAAGATAGAGATGGATCAAAATACCTTAAACCTCACGAGAAACCCTTTGTCTCGAATCCTCAAAGACTTGGAAGAATCCCATGTAGCTTCAAGTACCTCGATGTTGCAATCTTCAATCAACTAGAGTCGGATCTAGTTTCCTTCGATTCAAGAACGAGTCCACGAACCTAAATCTAAGGTTGAAGAAAGTAAGATTGATTCGAGTCCACGAATCAATTTGCTAGTCGAGTCCACGACTAGCCACTAATTGAGTCCACAATTAGCCATAAGGTTTCTTACACAAGTGTAAAGAAAAACTTAAGAATTTTATTGAATTAAAGCCTGTTTCAAACTGATATGGATGTGCCCTATTTATAGGTATAGGGCAGCATTGTAATCTAAATACAATGGGAAAAAGAGTCCTAAACCTAATCTAGAAAACAAGTAAATAGAGTTTTATTTAGAATAGGATTTAAAGAATCCTTTCTAAATACAACTAGTGTTTTCTCTTTTATGCCAAACAATTTAAATTAATGATGACCAAAAATAATAGGGCTGATTTGGGCCTAATTTAATCACCAAAATCAGCACTTAAACAATTATAAAAAAGCCTTGAGTTATTCTTCATATTTTGCAAATGGGCTTGACTTGGATTTCCACCATCTTTGAACATCACCAATGAAGAGTTGCCTTAATTGTTTGGACTTGGGCCTTGTGATTGGCCCAATTAGTATTCTTAATGGATCTTCATATGTTGGGCCGCATCATCCTCCCCTTCTTGAAAATGATTCGACCTCGAATCTTGTAAGCATTGTCTTCGATCCATGATATCACTTGAAATTGGCCACTATAATATTTTCCTCTATCGAATGGAATTATTATTGGTCTTTGTTGTTTCTTCCACCAATGATGTTTTAAGGTCGTCGTTATGGGCCTTGTGATGAGCCCACTATTTACCCTTTCTGGATTCCATGTGTACTGGTTCCTATTATTCTCCCATTCTTGAAAAGGATTCGTCCTCGAATCCAAATCTTCAGTGAAAGACAAAGTAGCAAGCTCACTTTCTGTTTTATCACGCTCATGGAACTTTTTCTTGGGATGCTTGACATGAGTCGCTCCAATCATCATCCTACAATCAACAAGTAAGGCAATTAAGTCTAATGACACATCAGGGAATTTAAACATTCTGGATGGTAATAATTCAACAAAATGAGACATATTAAATTTATGCATCTTGTTTGAATTGTCAATAAGCACAAAATCTTTCCGCCTAGAGCTTAAGGCTAAACCAAACACAAAATCCATGAAAATATCAAGTAATGATTTAGATGCATTGTGGTGGTAAGTAGCACAATTATGAACATAAGATTCTACATCTTTTTTCTTCTTTGGCCAATGAAAATATCCATGCAAAACATCATCACTCTTTGGAAAATCAAATTGTCCCTTATGTGAATCAATAATTAAATCATTGCTCAAATCCAAGCAAAAAGTGCCAATCCCATTGACTTTGAAAGAAAACCCCTTGAGCAAGTAGTATTTCACATAAGAAGTTTTCAAATGTGCCTTATAACTTCCCAGTGATTCCTTATCTCTATCAAATAAAGTTTTAGTAAAATCAAAATTAAGGAATCTCGGATGTATGGACGCAAACAAATTTCTAACACATCTAGCAAGGAGCTCATTAATAGAAACATGACAAACAAATCTAGAGAATTTTAATGCATGCTTTTGAAATAAAAATGAGTAAATAGTTACTCCCCTTCTTTTCTCTTGCTTAATATCCTTTGTAGTTACCAAGAGAGGTTGCACTTTGACACCTTGGGCTGGTCCTTTCCACTGTATCACTGATTGTGGTCCCTTTGTTTGGCTACAAACCGAAATAGAAGATTGGAGTGGTGATTGCAATTCCAAACATGGAGGTTCCACTTTTCTCTCTTTTATTTCTTCCTTTGATGCTGGTTTGAGAGCTTGCATCAATGTCAATTGAATTTCTTCTACTTGTTTAAGATACAAACGAGGCAAGACATATGTAACTCCATTCATGTGAAACACATAAGTGTTCCTCATTCCATCATAACTTATTTTTTTTGTCAAATTGCCATGGTCTACCTAACAAGATATGAGCATCCTGCATTGGGATATTATCACACAAGATTTCATCAGAGTAACTGTTAATAGATAAAGGAATAAGAACCTGTTTGGTTACTCTAGCTTCTCCTACATCAGTTAACCATTGCAAACAATAAGGATTTAGATGATTAAGCAAAGGTAACTGAAGAAATTTAACCATAGTTGCACTAGCCACATTTGTGCAACTTCTAGAATCTATTACCATAGCACACACATTCTCTCTAATTGACCCTTTAGCACAAAATATATTTTCTCTTTGAGACTGATCTTCTTTTAAAGGGTGAACATTCAAAACCTCCTTAACAACAACAATATGACTAGACTCACTATCAACATATTTAGAATCAGAATCTAAAGGTATGGATGGTTCTCTCTCAACATGTTCATTGGGGGTTTCAAAATGGTCACAAACCTCATCCTCAGATTTATATTCAAGAAAAGAAGTAAAATTTTCAGATTGTGTTGTTATCTTAACTACCCTCTTGTTAGGGCAATCACGAGCTATGTGGCCTCTCCCATTACATCTATAACAAATTAATTCTCTATCATGTTGAGGCCTTACTGCCTCACTTACCTTTTCCTTACCTTTGTCTCGTGAATCATCTCTTGGAGGAGGATGTTCATCACGCCTTTGAGGGGTGGAACAAGTGTTGTTCCATCTTGATGCACCATTTTTGGACTTGTACATTTTCATCTCTTTGATTTTTGCCTCAGATTCACGTGCAGCATACAGGGCATCATAAAGGGTGTCATATCTCTGAATACTCATTCCACACCGAATTTCTAAGTTCAATCCATGTACGAAACGAGCAACAGTTTTTGTCTCTTCTTCATGTATGTCTCCTTGTTTAAGCAAAATACTTATAGTTTGGTAGTACTCATCAACTGACTTATTTCCTTGCACCGTTCCCTGCAATTTTCTTTCAAGATCATTGAAAAAAGATTTAGGACAAAAGGTTAGGTGCATATCTTCCCTCACTTGAACCCAAGATTCATAGGGAATAAAATTAGCAACTCTTTCTATATTTCTTTTTCGCCACCAAGATAATGCATACCCCTTAAAAGATGTAGCAACTATCCTAATTTTTGTAAGATCAGAATATTGCTTTAAATAAAAAAGAGTTTCAACAGCATTCTCCCATTCTATGTATTCGGTAGGTCCTTTCTCACCGGTGAAGTTAGGAATTTCATGTTTAATGTTTCCTAACTCCGCATTACGCTGCTGGATCCTTTGACATATAGGATCCACTCTTCCTACTGGTGGCAGGTATCGCTCATCATTGTGTGGTGGTTGCACTTGCTGTGAGCGTTGCTCCAAATTATTCATTCGTTTGAGTAACCTGTCTATCTTTTGTTCTAATGTCTGGGGAAAGTTTGGAACTTGATCAGCCATCTGTATAGGAAAAAAAATATCTAAAAAAAAAAAAAAAAAAAAAAAAAAAAGATGTGTGAGTAATCACGTTAGTGAAACCAAAAAGTTGGCTCGCTCCCTCACTATTCTCAGCTCGCGGGTAAGAGGTGGATTATATGGCTCTGGTGGTGTACTACACACTCTTACAAACACACACTCCACTCGTGTATCGCTCAAGGTGGCAGATACTCTCACAAACCTTTTTCCAAAAAGGAAAATTCTAGTCCGGTACTCAAGTTGATATGGATTCAACCTCAAAGTTCAAGAAAACGTACCTTGGAAGACTTCACAAGCCTTTGAGAGTAAGGGTGTATCGTGAGATAGATAATAAAATTGAGAGCAAGAAGCAAAGAAAAAGGACAATACGAGCAAAGAAACTAAATAAGATTTGAAAGAAAAAGGAAACTAAAGAAGGAAGTATGGCAGAAAGATATGCAAGACCAATATCAAAATATAGAGACAAATAGAATATAAAATGGGTTCATGTGTACCACAACCAATTAGGAATCATTAAAAAACTCCTTCCAACCTTATACTTTTCCCCTTCCTTGTCCCTCCAAAATTCTCCTACCAGCCAAATTCTTTCCCCAACCTTATTCTTCTTCTTTATTGCTTTCTCTTTTTTGCTTTTTTTTTTTTTCAACTTTCTTGATTTTTTTTTGATTTTTTGATAAATAACCTCCAAATAATTACTGTAAATATCACCAAAAATTTCAGACCAAGTGGTTCCACACAAGCACTTCAAAACAGAATCAAGAATTTCAAGAATCACCCAGAAAAACAGAAACGCTGCCCTTACTTCGAAGATCAATATCTCAATGACCGTAAGGAATTAGCAAGTGTATAATATATCAATAGAACGCCCCAGAAGAGATATACAACATATCCAAATTTCGGATAAAACTAACCAGTGGATCTCGAGATATAGGTAATTCTTTGAAACTGGTCACAGCTCACGGAAATCTGGACAGGGTGTGATTGAGACGTGATTGCGCATAAATGCGCTTTGGATATAGGTAAGGGTAAGATGGGGTTGTTTTCTTGACAGAATATGTGGTAATATGGTGCTAAGGAGGTGTGAGGTCTCGTTGATATTGTACGGGAAAAAGGGAAAACACTTTCGGGATTGTTTTTCAAGAAACTGGAGAACATGTATCAAGATTCAAGAACACAATCAAGAATGCAAAAGAAAATTTTTTTGGGGATTTTTTTAATGAATAAGACACGAATAAATGTAGTATGTAAGATAAGAACGAGATAAACCTAGGGAACCAAAGAAACCAAATTTCCAATGATAACGAGACAAACCTAGGCTCTGATACCAAATTGATATGAATCTAGTCCAAGATTCAAATAAGATGAGTATTGTCCCAAGAATTGCTCTCAATGTAAAGATAGAGATGGATCAAAATACCTTAAACCTCACGAGAAACCCTTTGTCTCGAATCCTCAAAGACTTGGAAGAATCCCATGTAGCTTCAAGTACCTCGATGTTGCAATCTTCAATCAACTAGAGTCGGATCTAGTTTCCTTCGATTCAAGAACGAGTCCACGAACCTAAATCTAAGGTTGAAGAAAGTAAGATTGATTCGAGTCCACGAATCAATTTGCTAGTCGAGTCCACGACTAGCCACTAATTGAGTCCACAATTAGCCATAAGGTTTCTTACACAAGTGTAAAGAAAAACTTAAGAATTTTATTGAATTAAAGCCTGTTTCAAACTGATATGGATGTGCCCTATTTATAGGTATAGGGCAGCATTGTAATCTAAATACAATGGGAAAAAGAGTCCTAAACCTAATCTAGAAAACAAGTAAATAGAGTTTTATTTAGAATAGGATTTAAGGAATCCTTTCTAAATACAACTAGTGTTTTGTCTTTTATGCCAAACAATTTAAATTAATGATGACCAAAAATAATAGGGCTGATTTGGGCCTAATTTAATCACCAAAATCAGCACTTAAACAATTATAAAAAAGCCTTGAGTTATTCTTCATATTTTGCAAATGGGCTTGACTTGGATTTCCACCATCTTTGAACATCACCAATGAAGAGTTGCCTTAATTGTTTGGACTTGGGCCTTGTGATTGGCCCAATTAGTATTCTTAATGGATCTTCATATGTTGGGCCGCATCAGCTTGGCCGACCTTTCATGGCCACAGCAAAAACAATGATTGATGTCCAAAATGGAAAATTAACTATGTCTGTCCTTGATGAGACTGTTGAATTTTCCATTCTGAAATCAATGAAGTTGCCTGAAAACGATACTAGTCATTGTTTTGCTGTAGATGTTTTAGATTCAATAATTTCTGCTGAGTTTTTAGATGCATATCCATTGAAGGTCGAAGAGATTGAGGCTGATGAAGTCCAACCTGGCCAAAGCCCAATAAAGGAGGGGAATGATGAAGGAGGTTCAGTTACAAGCTGTTTGGAGAAAACCAAAGAAGTATACCATTCTTCAATTGAAGCTGAAGTTCCACCCAAGCTTGAACTAAAACCTCTTCCTAATTCTTTGAAATATGCTTTTTTAGGTCCAAATAATACTTATCCTGTAATAATTGCTTCTAATCTTTCACTTGAGCAAGAAACAAGTCTACTAGAAGTTTTACAAAAAATATAAAAGTGCAATTGGTTGGACAGTAGGTGATATTAAGAGAATAAGTCCAACGGTGTGTATGCACCGGATCCTACTTGAAGAAGGAGCAACTCCGGTCCGTCAACCTCAGCACAGGTTAAATCCAAACATGAAGGAGGTTGTACGCGCAGAAGTTCTAAAGTTGTTGGACTCGGGTATTATTTACCCAATTTCAGACAGTAAATGGGTAAGTCCAATTCATGTAGTGCCAAAAAAATCTGGAATTACGGTGGTCACTAATGAAAAAAATGAATTGATCCCAACGAGAACAGTAACTGGGTGGCGCATGTGTATAGATTACAGAAAATTAAATGCCGCCACTAAAAAAGATCATTTTCCTTTGCCCTTTATTGATCAAATGTTAGAAAGATTAGCTGGGCATGCTTATTATTGTTTTCTTGATGGCTTTCAAGGTTATTTTCAGATTCCTATTGCACCTGAAGATCAAGAAAAAACGACGTTTACATGTCCCTTTGGCACTTTTGCTTATCGCAGAATGTCATTTGGGTTATGTAATGCACCTGCAACCTTCCAAAGGTGTATGATGTCAATATTTTCTGATATGATTGAAAGATATGTTGAAGTATTTATGGATGATTTTTCTCTATTTGGAGATTCTTTTGATGATTGCCTTGCTCATTTATCTTCTGTGCTTGAAAGATGTGTTAAAATGAACTTAACTTTGAGTTGGGAAAAAAGTAATTTCATGGTTAAAGAGGGCATTGTTCTAGGGCACATAATTTCTGACAGGGGCATAGAGGTTGATAAGGCTAAAATTGATGTTATTTCTAAATTACCTACCCCTACATCTGTTAAAGAAGTGCGAAGTTTTCTTGGTCATGCAGGTTTTTACAGGCGTTTCATAAAAGACTTTTCAAAAAGACTTTTCAAAAATTTGTAGGCCTTTATGTAGCTGCTTGCAAAAGATGTTGTTTTCAAATTTGATGATGAATGCTTATCTGCTCTTAATTTTTTGAAAGAAAAATTAACTTCCGCTCCCATTCTTACTGCACCTAATTGGGAGTTTCCTTTTGAAATAATGTGTGATGCATCTGATTATGCCATAGGCGCTGTTTTAGGACAAAGAATTAATAAGATGCCTTATGTGATTCATTATGAAAGTAGAACTTTGGATAATGCCCAGGCTAACTATACAACTACTGAAAAGGAGTTGTTGGCTATAGTCTTTGCATTAGAAAAATTTCGTTCTTACTTGATTGGTTCTAAGGTGATTGTTTATTCTGATCATTCTGCGCTAAAATTTTTGTTGGCTAAAAAAGATGCTAAACCTAGACTAATAAGATGGATTTTGTTGTTGCAAGAGTTTGATTTAACTATCAAGGACAAGAAAGGGTGCGAGAATGTGGTAGCTGACCATCTGTCTCGTTTACCCGAAGTAGCTAATAATTGTTCTAATTCTGGTATTCCTATCAATGACATGTTCCCAGGTGAACAATTGCTTTCTTTACAGAATACAGAACCTTGGTATGCTGACATCGTGAATTATTTAGTCTCGGGTCAATTTCACCCAAGCTTAAATTCACAAGGAAAAAAACATTTTCTTTCCAAAGCAAAATATTTTTTTTGGGATGAGCCTTATTTGTTTAAAATTTGTCCTGATCAAATAATTAGAAGGTGTATTCCTGAGTTTGAACAGCAAAATATTTTGAATCACAGTCACACTTTAAATTGCGGAGGACATTTTAGTGGGAAGAAAACTGCATCGAAAGTTTTGCAGTCCGGTTTTTATTGGCCCACTTTGTTCAAGGATGCGTATGAATTTTGTGCTAAGTGTGATAAATGCCAGAGGACTGGTAATATAAGTAAGCGTCATGAAATGCCTCTCTCAAATATTCTAGTTGTTGACCTGTTTGATGTTTGGGGAATTGATTTCATGGGGCCGTTTCCTACTTCCTTTGGTTATAATTATATTCTTGTGGCTGTTGATTATGTATCAAAATGGGTTGAAGCTGTAGCTACTAGGACAAATGATAGTAAAGTTGTTTTGAAATTTCTGAAAGATATTTTTGCAAGGTTTGGGACACCCAGAGCTATTATTAGCGATGATGGTACCCACTTCTGTAATAAACTTTTTGCAGGTCTTTTGAAAAAATATGGCATTACTCATAAAGTAGCTACTCCATACCATCCACAAACCTCTGGTCAAGTAGAGGTGAGTAACAGACAAATCAAAGGAATACTAGAAAAAACGGTGAATCCTTCCCGAAAGGATTGGGCCATCAAATTGAATGATGCACTGTGGGCTTACAGGACAGCCTACATGACTCCAATTGGCATGAGCCCATACAGGTTGGTATTTGGGAAGGCTTGTCATTTGCCAGTAGAGTTAGAACACAAAGCCTATTGGGCTATTAAATTCTTAAATTTTGATTTGCAGCGGGCTGGTGGAATAAGAAAATTGAATTTAAATGAATTAGATGAAATAAGGAATGAGGCCTATGAAAACTCAAAAATCTATAAAGAAAGGACTAAAGCTTACCATGATAAATTTCTTTTGAGGAAAAATTTTGAACCTGGGATGAAAGTTTTGTTATTTAACTCTCGTTTGAGATTGTTTCCAGGTAAGTTAAAATCTAGGTGGACAGGGCCTTTTGTGGTACGTGAAGTATTTTCTCATGGTGCCTGCGAGATTGAAAATCCAGACACATGTGAAAAATTTAAGGTAAATGGGCAACGACTAAAACAGTACCTCGAGGGTGATCCCTCAGTCTTGAGTATTGAACAGATAGAGTTACAGGACTCTAAATGCCCATGTTGTCCAGCTACAGACAATAACTGAAGCGCTATTGTGAGGCAACCCAAATCTCTTCCCCTTTTCTCCTTTATTTTCATGTTGTTTGTGTTTCTCTTATACTTTTTGTTTGTTCTCAACATTGCGGACAATGTTTGAAATAAGTGTGGGGAGGAGATTTCTATTTTGAAATATTTGTCAATCTCTTTAAAAAAAAAATTTTAAAAAAAAATTTTACTTTTAAAAATAATAAGAACTTGAGCCTTTTGACTAGCCTATGATGAAAATTATGCATGTTTTTGTCAACTCTTAGTATGTATAGTGCATGTGACTAGTTGTTAATCTCTATTCTTATATTTTTGAATATCTTTGTTTCAAAAAAAAAAAAAACCAAAAAAATCAAAAAACAAAAAAAATAAAATAAAATAAAATAATTAGAATAGGAAATACCTTTATGTGTTCTATACAATTTCTTTAGTAGTTTATATGCATCTTTCACTTTGTTTTTCCTTTTTCAAATTCTTGAGTGCTATAAATTGTGGTGTAGTGTGTTGGTTCAAGGATCATCTTTATGACATAAGTGAGGTGAAAAGAAAAGATTATAAAAAAGATATTAAAAAAATAATAATAAAATAAAAATAAATGAGAGTGTTCGGTTATTAAGTTATTTATTTTGCAAATCTAAGAGATTCTACTCCGCTGAATCAGCCATCTATAAACATGTATAATAAATAAATCAATAAGTGTTGTGGTCTGGTTTATGAGTACACACAAAATTGAAAACCCAAACAAGTCTGGTATAAAATGGCGAGGTTTTTGGGGAAGTTCTCTTTGGAAAAAAGTCAAAATAGAAAAAATAATGAGTGAACTTTGAAAGAGACGAGCAAATTGCATTTTAATTTTAATAAATGTCTCGATCCTTGTTTCCTTCATGTTTTGTACCTGCACTGTGATAGAATGTTTTCGAATTTGGTTTAGGTTATATTTTGTGAAATTTTCGTATTTACTTTATTGAGTTTTTGTATAGCTCATATAAGGGGTATTAGCATACGAGCACAAGTTTTATATTTATTTTAGTTGCTAAAGATTTTAATTTCTAGTCAATTATTTTATGCACTCTTTGAGTTGACTTTAATTTTGCATTGATGAGGCAAATAAATTTGAAAGGCTATTTGGGTACAACTCGATCTAATACTTGCTTTTATTTTAATTTCTTTTCTTGTTAATAATGTTTTTGCTTGAGGACAAGCAAATAAATAATTGTGGGGAGATTTGATAAACATTATTTTTGTTGTTATTTTAAATAATTTTTTATAGTTAAGCTGCAAATAATTGATTAATTTTTATCTAATTTTATTTATTATTGACATAAGTACTTTTGTTAATATTAATCTATTTTAAGATTATTTTTATTAAATTTGTCTATTATTTGAATTGTATTAGAACAATAATTCCCTAACCCCAATTTAATAAGATTATTATTATTATTATTATTATTATTATTATTATTATTATTATTATTATTATTATTATTATTATTATTAGATTATCAAATTAGATTAGATTAGATCTGTCCATTTTGTTAGGATCAGGACTTTAATTAATAAAATATGAGAGAGGCGCAGCTTCATCCCATCGGCTAACGAAGATTCGGTCCGGTCAGCTAAAGACCCGAAAGGAGAGCCGATCCTCATTCTCCTGCGACATCTATGCCAAGAATTGAATAGTGTAAGGAGAAGCAGTCAAAGGCTATAAATAAAGTTCGGTCTAAGATCTTCAGCGAAGCTCCTCACCGCCATTTATCACCTTCATCACCGACAACGGAATTTCACCACGAATTACCACCCACCATCAATTTTACTCCGGATCAATTCCGGAGGCGAGCTTGGAGGTTTCCAGTTTGGCGCTGGTAGTGCTGATTCGGCAGCTTCTTCCCAATTCTTCTATTTCTCTGTTCTTCAATTTGTTCAGTGCGGCGATAGCAGAATCTGATCGGCAACCTTGACAGTCGGCAGCAGCTTAATATTCCTGGTTTTTGTCCCCTTTAATTTACATTGCACTTTGGTGAATTGTTAATGGCCACTTCCTCAATTTCTGTTTGTTCCTCAATTTACATTGCATTATGTCGAATTGTTACGGTAGAACCTATTTGCTTATTTAATTACATCACAGTACACTTTGTTTAATTCGTCTTTCGTCAATTCACAGTAAAGTTTTGTTTAATTCCTCTTTCTTCAAGCCACAGTGCATTATTTTGTTTAATTCCTCTAAACCCAATTTATGTATTGCTACTGTGGAACCTAGTTTGTAGTATCAATTTGCTCAACTCTATTACATTAGCTATCAATTTCTTTAGTATTTGCTACATTTTCTATTTCAATTCATCTTAAATCTGCGTTAATATAAATTCAATGTTGTCAATCAATTGAGTTTTATTCCTTAGCTTCCTGTTTTATTAATCTTTGGCATTTGATTTAAGCACTTTAATTTGTCAAGCACGTTATTTTAATCGGATCGATTTCCCCTGCTATTTCATTTCGTTGCTATTTTATTTCCTGCTTTCTTTTCTACTACAATTTCGCTAGTTAAGTCCATTCTGAATGTCAATTGGTTCTAAGCACATTAAATTGTTAAGTAATCATTTTAATCATTTTCAATTTATTAAATTGCATCATATCAACTTCCTCTTGGGTTCGACCCTTGCCTTTGCACACTACCACTACACTGACTCGTGCACTTGTGAGGACATTATATATTTAAAATTGTCCAACATATTCCCTTTCAAAATGGTTTTGATTATATTTATCTATATATGTTATTTAACGCGTATTGATGGGTTACCAGCAATATTCATTGACCAGGTGTTATCCCCATGTTTATTCCCTTGTTCTACAGGTTTTGAGTAGATGACTGAGAGCGCTAATCGTGGATCGATAGATAGATTAGCTGTCCTGTGTAGACGTTATCTTTTGTTGGCCTGTGAGCCTAGTTTAGCGGCCTGTGTGCCTAGACACTTTATGTTTTGTTTAAATGATAGTTTTCCCGCCTGTGCACCTATGTTTGAGATAAGTGTGGCATAACACGTACCGATTTTATATAGCTTCTGCTTGCTTTATGTCTTGATGATTAGATGTTTTCCTGTGCATTTAAGTTTTTAAAATGTGGTAAAAATCGGGGGTGTTACATAAGTGTCATTTGCATAGTCCGTGTTTCTAGCACCAATATCAAGGGGTTAGCGCATATAGCTCTAACATGACACCGCGGCGCTTATACCCTGACCCAAGCCTTTAGCCAGCAAGCCTAAGGGGTGGTCTGTGCCTTTAGCACGATAACTGAGCACACGTTGTGCTTTCCGCCAACAATTCATCTGCACCAATCACAATATCATCATCATCAGTCACATCAATCATTGCGCAATGACCACGGTACCCATCATCATTCAATCAATCAATCATGTAATCAAAAATAACAATCAAGGCATATTAACAAACGACACACACTACACACAAATTCCTAGAACGGTACTCAAAACATCGTGCGAGACTCACAAACATCACACGGGGTACAACGGGACACGGGGAAACAACAAACGGGGGAAAAGACCCCGCCACATCTCGCCTTTCCAGCGGGTGGGCGGTGGGTGGTGGACCACCCGCCGACGGCGTCACTATTCCAGCGGGTGCCCGGCGGGCAGTCGCTTGCCCGCCGGCTGCATGCTGGAACCGGGCAGCATGGGCAGCGGGTTAGTGGTGGGGATTCGTCCCCCCACCTACCCCCACTGGTACGAAGGTAGAATTTCCAGTTTGGGGTCCGTTCGTGGAACTCAAAATCATTTCCAAACACATTCCAACACGTAACAACAACATCACGATTTCAATTAACAAAGATTAAATCATGAATCATTCCAATTATATTCTAACACGATTCCTAAACATGCCACGACTCCACATTGGTCACATAATGGTTCAGGAGCATCCGGAACCTCAAGAACATCAAGAAATCTATATGCAAAGCTCTATAGACAAGTCCTAGGCTAGACTCAACACCCGATCATGCATAAACCCACCCAAGAATACCAAGAACATCACAACAACGAGATTCACGATACAAACCCTAAGGACAAGCTCTAGACATTAATTAAATACAAGATTACACACATAATCAATCACAACATCAAGATCACCAAGATTATCAAATAAACACAATATAAATCCTAAGCAAGGCTCTATCAAGACTCAATCACAGAATCACCCGTACAATTATCAAGGGAGCCAATAAGTAAGATATAGCAAGGAAAATAGGTTTTGTAAGACATGAGTTACCTCTTAGCCCTAACCGATTTCCCTTGGCTACTAAGGTTCTTCCATAAGATTCTTCTCCCAGTTGATCTTCCTAAGCTTGCTGGTAGGGGATTTCCTTGGCTGGATTTCCTAAGAGTATTTTCGAGTAAGTAGGTGGTGAGGAAGGGTTCTATCTGCTTCCTAATCTTCTATTTATATGTTTAAGGGGAAACCTATTCAGAGTCTGAATAATAAGGCCCACTTTTCTTATTCCCTACGGGTTTAAGGTTTCTAGTTCAGGCAAAGGTCCACGATTCATTGAGGACCGCTAAGATTAATTAAGAGAATTATAATTGGATTAAATACCTCTTAATTATTTTAATTAACGGAATTAATTTAATAATTAATTCGGGTTTGAAGGCCGTAACACGGAGTGTTACACGACCAGCCCGCAGGAACGGTACCGCCATTCCAGCGGGTGGACGGCTATCCGCTGGACCACCCGCTGGAACGGACAGCCCGCCGGCGGGTGGTTTTCCACCCGCCGTACCGTCCGCTGGTTCGGGCGGTGTGGTGTGTTGTTGATCACCGTTGGTCATTTTCCCGTACCCTGTTGTGTCTCGTTTGATGTTTGTAAGTCTAGTTTGATGTCTTGAGTACCGTAATAGGGTTTGTGAGTCATGTTAATGCATGTGGTCTAAACTCGTATCCCTTTGGTTTAAAGTAAGAGTGTAATGTCCCATATGAGTCTTGTGGTTGTCCCGTTGT